ATTTCAAAAAAATATTTTAGAATTAACTAACGACAATTCAGTAAAACTATATTTTTTTGGATAATCAGATAATTTGGCATCTAAACCCTCCTAGAAAATCACATTTTGGTGGCCTTTGGGAATCGGCTGTAAAGCTTATGAAAAATCATTTAACAAGGGTTATAGGTATGAAGACTAGAGATAAGTCTTCATAGTTATAGGTGAAGCACACCTAACTTACGAACAGTTCTTATTCAGATAAGAGTCAATCCTTAATTACCGTCCAATATGTCCCATATCAAACGATCCTTCTGACCTTGAAGCACTCACGCCAGGACACTTTCTAATTGGACAATCACTGAATTCCATGCCAGAGGAAAATACATTAGAAATACCTTTTGGAAGGTTGGGTCACTACCAACGTGTCCAACAACTTGCTGAGCATTTCTGGAAGTGGTGGTCATCAGAATATTTGAATAACTTAAACACCCGCACGAAATGGAAGTTTAACGATGATACGAAATTCGACATTGGCACCCTCGTTATATCCATAACGGCAAGGACAATGTAGTGAGAGTAGTTTCGGTGAAAACAAAATATGGAACTTTCAAACGTGCTATCAATAGACTTTGTATTTTACCTTTGGACGATTAGAACTTTTTTTTTGCTTTTGAAAGGCGATCCTTTCAAGGTGGCCGGTATGTCGCGATTATCCTATGTCGCAAAACACAAACGTACCGCGGACAATGTGAACGCGCCATACATTAACAGTTGGCAAACCTGCCGATGGAGATGGACGTGAGAAGAGCGCAAGATCATTATTGACTACTTACTTTCATATTGTATAACATGATATGTAAAATTTCTGACGGCCTCTCGGCTGTTTTATGTTTAATTGTGAAATAAAGTTTGTTAAAATCATTGAAAATCATTGCACTATATCGACGAAGAAAACTATATCAACCATATTGTTTCAAATGATTTTGTTCCAGTCTGGCTTTTCAGTTCCACCTAGTTTTATAACTTTGGACTACAATTGACCTTTGATTTTGTTTACTAGGAACAGATGGCGACACCATTTTTACTACTTGAATTCATATTCTTTTAGTAATTATCATTAATATATATTAGTAAATGTGTTGGCTTCGTTAATTCCATTAGAGACTGGAATTTAGAACCATCTATTTCTTGCTGAAGAGTCCTAATAAGGATGAAACCGGTCCAAGAATGGCGTTCTCCTTAGTGAGCAAAATCAAAGGTAGAGTGCTGAAATTTAATTTCTATCTCTGCTGTTCGTTTGAATGTAATTCAATACCCGTTGAGGTATTAGCCAAGGGAGTAGTTGTTTTACGAAGGGAAACGGTCGCAACTATTTTGTGAAATATGACTTCGTGATTTATTTATTTTATTTTACGTCTTGGTCACATTTGAGTTGGAATTATTTTCCTTTTTTATTGATAAAAATACTGGTTTCGTATTTCTATCTAAAAGCTTTGGTTTCTTTGAACACTCTGTCGCGGTGAGCGGACAGTTCGTCGATCGCTGAGGACAGCGATTTTCGCCCGAGGTGGTTTGTTAAATATAGAAAATGAGACCTTCTCTGTCTGTACGTTCTGTTTATGTATTAGGAATGTAAACGAAATGTACTAAAATGAACGCAAATAAATTGTTTGCGTTGTTATTATTGTTGGAAGAGGAAAATAAGAGAGGAACTGGCAATTGCAACCGTCAAAAATTCCAATAGGCCAGTGGATAAGTTGTTTTTGTGTTGCGATATAGAAGGTGCCTTTAATATCACTGTGCAGCGGAGGCTTTTTGGAAATGAAACCAAATTTAGGAAGTATTTTAGACTTCCTACAGATCTTTTTGAATTCGCGTTGAGTTTTTTAAAGGGCGACATTTCCAATAAACCTACAAATAAAGTCATAAAGTCATTTGTATGTGTGAATTTTTCACTCATTGTTTTAAAAATAATAACAATATAATTATTTGTATTCACAAACTGTTTCCGCACACGCCGACGATTCCGCTGATATCAAACTCAACAGTTATGATCCGACTAGTCGGAAAAAATCAGCGGCATGACGCTGTCATGCTCAGCTAAGCGGATTCAAGAAAACCATTCCCATTTAAATACTCTGGTTAAATAAAATCGTCAAAACGCGCCATCGAAGGACTGTCCGCTCACCGCGACGGAGTGTTCAAAGAAACCAAGGCTTATAATCGAATTAAATTACGGGTTTTGAGCTTACATTAAATTGTAATTAGATGAAACAAAATGGATTCTACGTATTTTGAGGTGATCTTTTCGAAAAAAGGCAAAACAAAATGTAGCAGTTTTTCGAAAGTGCCGAAATTTTGGATTTTGTCAATTTTTCAATTTTGCGCAGGCGCATGTCGGAAATAAATCAATATTTTTAAAACGCAGTTTACGACATTTGAAAGCTTAGGAAAAATGCTAATTTTTATGTCTCTTGAGAAATTTTGATCCGATGCACCGTTCTCGCGGTATGGACGATTGAAATTTGTTTAGTATTTTGAGGCGACGAAGGTCGAAAAATTGAATTTGTTAAATGTTCAAACACTAAATTCTTTATAACATTGTTAAAAATTAAGATATTTGAAAAAACAAAAATGCATTTTGAACTTAAGGGATGTGACTAGTGATTCCCAGAAGGGGGCAAGAGAAATCCCAAAATTGGACATATGGCGGAAGGGCAAAATGCACCGCGGTCCTAATTTCATTGTTTGCCTATAACGGCCAAACTATTTGAATTTTTTTAATGCCACTTACAAAGCTTACTCTTAAATGTGAAATCTTATGTGTGTGTGAATTTCACCGACATCGGACCATAATTGGCTAAGATATCAAACAATTAAAAAAAAAATTTTTCGACAGTTTGAAGTGGCACAAAAATGCCAAAAATGCACCCAATGGCTCAAAACTTTTTTTTGAGTACTCTATTGTGTCTAGAATACGATTACATTACGGAAAATTCTGCAAATATATTTTATCTAATTTTTTGACCACTGTTCATTGAGTGACGACCAAAAAACACGGTTTTTGAGAAAAGTTGCCTAAAATTGACAATTTTTAGTTTTTTTGTCTGAAAATTAAACAAACCCAAATTTTATGTCTTCTAAATGTGTATACAAAGTTTAATGTGTGTATGTTTCTTCTAAGTTGTAGAATTCTCCCGACAAAAGTCCCATTACACGCGCTCCGAGGGATCCAAAACTCGTGTATACACTACATTACTGTAATTTGATTTTTTTGCGTTTTCCAGTTTTAAATTTCTTACATATCTAAACTTATTAGGCTTAAAATTTATTAAATTGTATTTTACTGACTTGTTATAAGACGTTTCTTGAGTTTTGTGCAAAATATAGAATTACCACATTTTTAAAGTATACCTATTTGTGTATTTTTTTGTGCTCTTTTCGATGGCGAAGTTAGTTTTTTCAAATATATTTTTTTTGTTTTCGGAAAACCCGGAAAAAATCATATGGAAAAAAAATTAAAAAAAAAATACGCCTCTGGTTTCCTGCGAATTCCCGAAAAATTATGTCAGATTTCGCCGCGGGACTTATTTTATTTGAAAGCCAACAAAAAAATACGCAACTTCTCTCATGGGCACATATGTCTAACATTTATAATTTCGCCACAAATTCATCGTAAATTTCATGTCCATGGTTCTGATCAAAAAAACGACTTTTTGGTAAAAGCACTTGTGGCGACGAGAAATTCGCCATTAAAACTACCTGTGCAATGAATTTCCGAACTATTTTTGCCTCCTCTTTCGAATGGTGCAATTATTTTCACTATCGGAATGATACTTGCCCAGATAATTAGCATTTTTACAATAAAAAATTCTGGAAAACCCGGTTTTTCCTAATTTAAAAAAAATTGAAAAACTGCTACATCTTTTTTTCGGAAAGATCAGATCAAAATACACAAGGTCCTTTTTGTTTCATCCAATTACAAATTAATGTAAGCTCGAAGGGACTTTTTTTCGTTATTTAATTGGACTATTAAGGTTGCAAATGTTTTAACAGGGGTGTTTGATGAAATAATAAATGTAGAGGCAGAAGGTCTAACTCATTTTAAATATGCTCTGATAACTTCGGTGGATGTAGAACAGAGCTTTTTTTATAAAGGATACGTATCTTTTTCTTAGAAAATATTGATAAACACATCATTACATATTCTTTTTATAAACAAGTATTAGAAATTAAAAATTTAAAAAAACCGAGTTCAAAAACGTGCAGATGCCATCATCACATCTTAACCAAATTTATATGGGACCACCCCTGAGGTACCTTCTTACTAGCAAAAAAAGAATCATATAAATCGGACAAGGTGGTAAAGCATTATCGCTAAACATACATAAAAAAATGAAGAGTTTGAAAATTTTCTCATGGACCCAATTATTACATTTTGAACAAATTTATATGTGACCAGCCCTGAAGTACCCCCTTTCCAACAAAAAAATAATTATTAAAATCGGACACCGTGTTAAAGAATTATCGCTGAACATACATAAAAAATTAAGAGTTTGAGGATTTTCTCATGGACCCAATTATTAGATTTTGAACAAATTTATATGGGACCACCCCTGAAGTACCCCCCTTCCAACAAAAAAAGAATTATTAAAATCGGACACCGTGTTAAAGAATTATCGCTGAACATACATAAAAAAAATATCGCGACGTATTGAGAACCTCCTCCTTTTTTGAAGTCGGTTAATAAATAAACAAGTACAGATAATTAAATAAAGTAATTATTTAAAAGTTTTATTTTATTTTAACAAGTAATATCTTATAAAATTAATCTATTTGCCTGACTCTTACCTACTTACTTTCTTACTTTCCTACTTACTTACTTACTTATAAAATCTTTATTTACATTTTTAAAATCTTGCCTACAGTATCATACAATAATTACAACAATTCGACACTGTTCATAATTGTCCAAGATTGGCATTAATAATAATAGTAATAGTTATAATAAATTTACTTACGGCAATTTTCTTCATCACTATGGTCAGTGCAATCTGGAACACCATTGCAATGCCAAGAAAGTGGTATACATTTTGAATCATTTTCACACATAAACTGATCCATAGTGCATTTGTTATCTACAACAACAAAAATATAAATTTTATTTTACCATACTTTGAAATAATAAAAAAAATTGGAAAAAGAATAAAAAACCCAACTATTTAATAGAATTTATTTTGAGTAAAATTTTACCTATACCACAATTTATTTCATCCAAAGCAATGCCAGTGGTATCGTCATCTTTACAGTCAGCTACACCATTACATCTTAACTTCAAATCTATACAAGCTCCGTTTAAGCACTGGAACTGTTGTTTGTCACAAGCGGATCTGACAACAGTACAATTTTCTTCGTCAGAATTGTCCCAACAGTCGTCGTCTCCATCACAGAACCAATCTTTGTGGATACAAGTCGTTGTAAACTTGCAATTGACGAATCCAATGCCGTGTTTTTCAGTACAGTTAGGCATTTCTAAAAATGAAAACATTGTCTTTTAACTATATATAAATAAGATTTCGAATCCAACCTCTCGTTTCAGAAAATTTTCAATTCTTCAATGTGAGGTTGGATTCGAAATCTTATATTCATCCTGACAATTGGAGTTTTTCATTAAAATTGTTTTCACCTTGGGGGTTCAAAAGTAATTTTCAATATTTCGTAATAATGTAGGGGTAATATTGGGATTTGTTTTGGGATTTCCTAGGAATTTATTCATCATATTTTTCGGATATTCAACCGATCAATTTTCGGAACTTTAAAATCGATTCTTTTTCTTTATTGCATTATTTAAACAATACTAACTTACCACATCCGATTTCATCAGTTTTATCCTGGCAATCAGGTTCGTTATCACATCTATGAGCAATGTCAAGACATTCGCCATTCTTACATCTGAAATGGGTTTCTTCTGGGCAAGCACAATTTTGTTCATCTGTCGAGTCTCCGCAATCGTCAACACCGTTACAGGTTAGATTTAATGAGATACACATCTTGTTTTGACAAGGGAACCAACCCAAAGGACATGTTCGATATCTGAAATTAAATGTCAATTTATCAGAATTAAAGTAATTAAATAACAGTTCGTGAAATATTGCTTAATTCTAATGACGTATCTATCTTTAAGCTTTTACATGTGGGTACATTTAAAGATAGGTTAACCATGTTTTAAGAAATAAATAATTTTTAATAATGCTTTTATTTATTAGTGTCATTGATTAGATATAATTGATTAAAAATTAAGATATCAAAAAATATTGATTACATCAAATAGACATCATAGATCAAAACTGACTTCTAGAAGAATTTTCATTTTTCAGTAGTTTTACATTTTTAACTAGAAACCCAAAAATAAAAGTTTACTTACCCACAATATCCTGGTTCTTCATCGGATTTGTCCGCACAATGTGGAATGCCGTCACAAGTTAGATGGAAAGGAACGCAACCACCATCTGAGCATCTAAACGAATCACCATCATTTGTGCAGTTGGTGAGAATTTTCGCATGACAGCGCCCTTGTTCGGAAAGAATTCTACCTTCTTCGCAAGAACATTCAACCTATAATGTAAACATTTATCTATATTTAATAAAAAACTGTTTTAATGTTTTCAACAATAAACTGTGCATAAACCAAATTGAAGCTGTTATAAAAACGAAATTTTTTAAGAGATATATAACCTCTATCAATGTATTGCAACAAAATAATCACATTTATGTAAGTTCATATGAGGCAATTTATTTAGCTTCTTAACAATTAATCAAAAAGTAATAAATATTATTTACCTGTCCAGAAGCTGACAAACCACAAATTTCTTCACAAAAGCCATTTTGTATTAAACAGGGATTAGAAAAGCAGTCTTCAGTGTCATTTGCAACGGTTACTATACCCATGGGTCTAGCTACATCTCTTCTGAGTAAAACAATATATTGTCCGGTAAATTTGTCTGCTCTAATTACTGCATGCAACATCCAATCAGTCCAATATATAAAATCCCCATAGACTGCTAGAGCAAACGGATGTTGTGGCGTTACCTAAAAAGTATTGATAAAAATCATGATTTAAAAATATTTTGAAAACTATAGATTCAGTAGAAAGATTACACTAGAATCTATAATAAGAAAATAATTATAAATTTTTTGATAAACTTACTTTGGCCAAAACAACTCTCTTAGTTCCATCGTATTCACATCTCTCAATTTTATCTAACCTAGCATCACCCCAATACAATTTTTGTGCCTTATGGTCCAAAGTAATAGCATTTGGCATTCTAATATCAGTCTTGATAATACTATCCCTTCCAAATCCAGTCAAAAATGCTCTTTCAATCGTAGGTTGCTGAGGATTCCAATTTGACCAGTAAACGCGACTTCCGCAACTGTCAACAGCTATACCACGCGGTTTGTCCTGAACACGCATGCGTACAATAGTCTCCACAGCCGAGGAATTAGTCATGCGATTTGTTAAATTTACTCTGTTAATAGTGGCATCATTATTACAAGTCCAGTATAAAGAATTGTAAACTTGCTCATATGCTAGGCCTTCCACAGATCCTTGACGTTCTACTATAATTCTGTGGTCGGTTCCATTAAAAAATACGGCGTTGATAGAGCCTTTTTGTATGTCTGAATAAAACAACCTTTGGTGTTTATAACTAAATGACAATCCAATAGCATTCTTTAACATCGTACTATTCTTAATTGTAGGATGTGGTGAATTCTGCAAATTCTTATCGCCCACCATTTGTATAGAATCAATACTAATCACTCTCGAATACATCACAAAATTTTCAAACGGCTCACATGATTTACCATTAGCACCTATTCTACCATGCGAACAAACACATACGGGATGTGTACCGTTAAATAGACACAGTTGTTCGCAACCACCATTCTTAGTACTACAAGGATTACTGCCTCTTTGTTTCCGTTTTGAAAAAATGTGTATATCTCTGAGCGAATCGCCTAAATCACTGAGAAGAACTTGGGAATTAGAAACATTGGAAACAAGAGCAGAAGAAATGCTTCCTCTTTCAAATGTAGTATCTAACCAAAATATTTTATCATCCAATGTAGTTATAGCTATCGGATTCTCTAATGAGTGATTAAGCATTACCAATCTCTTTTCCCCAATATAACTCACTCTTTCTATAGTATTAGCTTGTATATCTGTAAAATATATGTACTCGTTGGTTGTATCTAGGGCAATGTCTGAAATAGCTTTGCCATCGCTCACTAACAGCTTTCTATTTTGTCCGTCCATCGTTGCTATCTCAATTTTAGAGCCACCTGCCCATACCAACACACCCTTAACAGGATCTACAGCTAAGGAATTTGGTTTACCAATTTCGTATGACAGCAAGACACTTTGTTTGCTCCCATCCAAACGAGACACCTCGATTGTGCCACGCTTTGAATCACACCAATAGATATTTCTGGCTATCCAGTCAATAGCCATACCAGTTAACCAATCTAAAGGAGTGTTCTCCAAAATTTCTGGTTGGTCTAAGATGAATTTTCTTTCGGTGCCGTCTCTTTTTACACGACTAACTGTTCCGTGATCGCTGTCAGCCCAGAAAAGTAGATCTTCGTCAGCTAAAAAGTCAATGGTCGTAGCGCTGGACACTCTAGAAATTGGTCCTAACACTTCGCTATCATTTTTTCCGTCTAAAGATAATCCGTGAAGTTCCCAATTAATTGAATAAAACAAAAATTCTTCGACTCCAATACATTTGAAGATATTTTTTGGATCTTTGATGTAGCCAGTAGCACATTTGCAGGTCAAAGTTTTATCAGAAATCGGTAAGCAAAGATGTTGGCAACCACCTCTGAACACGCTACAAGGATGCGAACCTTGTTGCTCACTCGGATCGTATATTCTTAATGCCAAAACGCTGCCAGTACTGTTTCTAAGAATATAATCATTGTTTCCTGTAAGTTTATCAACTGAACGTATCGACTGTGTATTATCATCGGAGTAAAATAATTTATTTTGATAAACAGTAATCGCGGATACAGATATATTCTCAGATAGGTTTAATTTTTGTAAGTTCGAGCCGTCAAAATTACTGTTATAGACATTTAGTTCACTTATCCAGAACAATTTGGAAGCTTTGGCATCGACTGTCAAACTTTTAGAGTTAGATTTCAGATTAGAAACAACCGTTTTTCTATTACTACCATCCATATTACTAGTTTCTACAGTCTCGGTATCGTTTACCGAAGATATCCAGTACAGATTACCTGTTGGCGGATCTACACATACCGATAGAACATTTACATTATCGATAATCTTAGTTATGTACTCTCCTTTGAGGTTAGAAACCATTATACCAACTTTAGAAGATATAAAAAGCAATTCTGATATCCAATCTACGGCTAGGCCAGAAGGATTTTGTAAGCCTGTGTCTAAAAGTGTTTCAGATGGTCCGTGTGTTAGACTAGTCCGTTTTATTTCGTTAATATGAAAATCAGCCCAAAATAGGGTACTGTTAGCTGCTAAGTACTCTATCTGAACAGGGCTTAAAACTTGTGGAATACTTATAGTTGGAATTGTATGGTAGTAAGGCTGAAGAATATCAACACCACGTATTTCATTATTTCTTGCTATTAGTAAGACTTTTTCATTTACTACACAGGTCTTGTTATCATTGCTAAGTCTCATAATATGTGGGCAATCACACTTGTAAGTATGATTTAAGTGGATTAAGCATAAATGGGAGCATCCTCCATTGTTACCACCACACGGATTAATGCCATCTCTCGGTTGTCTACTAGGATGTAATATTTTGATATCGAATGGTTGAGATAAAGTTCTTTGAATCACTCTAACATCGCCACCTGTGAACTTATTTGCTCGTACTACACTGTTTGTCCTCCAATCCGTCCAATAGACATAATTTTCGAATACAGTTATGGCGAAAGGATGTGACAACATTTCGTGATTTCTCATGACTTCGTGGTGATCTCCTCCGTCATAATTCGAAGTATGGATAGAGTCTGAACGAGCGTCTATCCAATATATTCGGCGAATGGTGTAATCTAAGGTTAGCCCGTTCGGCCAACCGCTATTGCCAACTTTAACGACTATTTTTCGGTCTGAACCAGCTAAAGAACATCGTTCTATTCTTGGCAGTTGATTGTCCCAATCAGTCCAGAAAAGATATCTGGAACAGAGAGGAGCTTTTATATAAAATTTACTTACAATATTGCACAAATAAAAAGTTTAGATTTTGTACTAAATTAGGGTACAGGTAGTAGACACTGTTCCATTAGAGAAATAGTATAGAGCGGTTTTAGATGACGGCTGTCGCAGAAACTAAATTTTGACTTGTGTTTTAAAATAATAGTGGGAAAATTTGTAGAGATTTTCGAAGCTTACGGGAAAGGAGGAAATATTTCCAGTGGCGGACAATTTTAATATTTTACAGGTATACGACAAATATGCAAGTTAATTTAATAAAAAAAATATTTTCAAATTTTTCAATTAAATTGAGGTCTGTTCTTGGTAAAATTCCAGACCACCTCTGGGGTATTACCGAGTTACCATTTCTTTTTAAGAGTTGATTCGTCAGTAGCCATATATGATATCTCAATATCATATAAACACCGAGTGGTCCGTAAATGGTCCGTAAATGGCCCATAGCGTAATGGTAGGTGTTAGTTTTGAAATATTAAAATCTGATTCAACTTTCTTTAATAAAATGCTGAAAATTAAAAAGTTCAAAGTGTCAAATTTAAAATAATTATTTTGCTTTTTCGGTAATAATTTCACAATCTGTATATACAATGTTGCCATTTTTAAAAATTTTGAATAAAAAATATATAATGTAAACGTCATTATTATGTAAAATTGTTTTAATCTTTTTAGAAAAAAGTGCTTCAAAATTGTGGAATTATTACCAAAAACAAAAAAGATATTTCAACTTTGACACCCTACAACTTTTTTATTATTTAATATTTATTTTCATTGAATAAAGCTGAGTCAGATCGTAATATTTTAAAGCCAAGATGCTCTATTGCTCTATAGACCGTTAATATTTACTTTGATAAATGCACAAGAGAAAAAACAGATTTTTGCTTACTACTCAATACATTTGAAATTGTACATACCATTGAGGAACCAACTCGGATATCCAAAAGTTGTAAGTCGTGCAATAATAATATACTAACACTAGCTGCATTGCCCGCGGCTTTGCTCGCGACTTTACTGGCATGTAGTCGTGATTAATATAAAAAAATACATGACTTCTCTTTTTATTAATTTTTACTAATTTTTATTTTTATTAATTTTTATTCACTTTTATTAATATTTATTAATTTTTATTAATTTTTATTCATTTTTATTACTTTTTATTAATTTTTATTAACTTTTATTAATTTTTATTACTTTTTATTGATTTTTATTAATTTTTATTAATTTTTATTAATTTTTATTAATTTTTATTAAATTTTATTAAATTTTATTAATTTTTATTAATTTTTATTAATTTTTATTAATTTTTATTAATTTTTATTAATTTTTATTAATTTTTATTAATTTTTATTAATTTTCATTAATTTTTATTAATTTTTATTAATTTTTATTAATTTTTATTAATTTTTATTAATTTTTATTAATTTTTATTAATTTTTATTAATGTTTATTAATGTTTATTAATTTTTATTAATTTTTATTAATTTTTATTAATTTTTATTAATTTTTATTAATTTTTATTAATTTTTATTAATTTTTATTAATTTTTATTAATTTTTATTAATTTTTATTAATTTTTATTAATTTTTATTAATTTTTATTAATTTTTATTAATTTTTATTAATTTTTATTAATTTTTATTAATTTTTATTAATTTTTATTAATTTTTATTAATTTTTATTAATTTTTATTAATTTTTATTAATTTTTATTAATTTTTATTAATTTTTATTAATTTTTATTAATTTTTATTAATTTTTATTAATTTTTATTAATTAATTTTGAATAATTTTTATTACTTTTTATTTTAAACAAATGTTCACCCCCATTTCCCCCCTTAAAATGTTAAAATGCAAAAACCCTGAAACACTTCATTATTTATTTATGATGAGAACCTACAATTCCAATTTTCAAGTTCCTACCTTTAAAAAAAAATCGATATTTCCAAATAATCTTTCACCCCCCGTTTCCCACTCTTAAAATGTGAAAATCCAAAAACCTTGAAACACGTCTTTATTAATTTGAACTCAGTAACTGCAATTCTAATTTTCATGTTTCTAACTTTAAAGAGAACCAAAAACATGGATACTCCCAAATAAATTTTAACCCCCCATTTCCCCCTCCTAAAATGTGAAAATCCAAAAACCCTGAAACACGTCATTAATAATTTGTAGTCAGTAGCTGCAATTTCAATTTTCATGTTTCTAACTTCAAAGAGAACAAAAAAAATCGATAGTCCCATGCAAACTTTCACCCCCCCCCTCCCCCCTTAAAATGTGAAAATCCAAAAACACGTCATTATTTATTTATGCTTAATAACTGTAATTTAAATTTTCATGTTTCTAACTTAAAAAAACAAAGAGTTTCATTAAAAGCTCCCTCCTCCCATTTCCCCCCTTTAAAGTTAAAATTTCCAAAAATCCTTTTTTAGCGGATGCTTACGTTATAAAATAAACCTATGTTCCAAATTTCAGCTTTCTAGGCTCAGTAGTTTTGGCTGTACGTTGATAGGTCAGTCAGGATAAACAATTTTATATATATAAAAGATAATTGAAAATCAGTAATCCATACTATGATTTCTGATTATACAGCACAAAAAATAAATATATGTATGGAAGTAAATATCAGTAAGATTATGAAAAAAAGGTTTTACAATACGGAGAATACAAATGAGTTTATGAGAAGTATGTTAAATATTAAGTGGTCAAATCTTAATATTAATCTTAATTAATCCTACTGATGTAAATAAACAGTGGGAATATTTTTCTGGAGTAGTCTCATTTCGTTTCAATAATAGTTTTCCATTTAAGTCTGCAAATTTGAGGCAAAATGAGAATAAATTTAATGTAAATCAAGAGGTCAGAGAATGTAAAAATAAATTTAATTTAATATATCTAATGTAAATATTTTCATAGAGCAGTGTAGGGAAGTAAAAAGGGGAATACAACTTAAAGTAAGTAAAAAGTAGATCCACAAACTACCATCAATTAATTGAGACTATAAAAATAAAACCAGTTGGAACATTGTAAAAGAGATAAATGGAAAAATTCATTTTTAAAATAAAGAAATACAGATTCCTGGTAATTCAAACGTAGTATTCCCTGCTTGCGACAAATCAATGTTCTTTTATGAAGTAAACACTGAGGAGATTCTTAAAATCATCAAAAATGTAAAGAACAAATTAAGCTGTGGTGATGATGACGTACTAACGAGTATTATCAGGCAATTCATTTATCTAATTATAAATCCATTAAAATTTATATTAAATAACTTTTAAATTTAGTGTGTATCAAGAAGCCCTAAAATTAGCTGTAATAAGGCCCATATATAAAAAGAGTGATGCTGAACTGGTCAACAACTACTGACCCATCAGTTTACTATATTCATTCTCAAAAATATTTGAAAAAATTGTGTAATAGGTTAATGGACTGGTTAAGAAATAATGAATCTTATATTTTTTAGTCAACATGGGTATCTGAGGGGAAAATCAACCCAAACTGCTTTTCAATCTATAAATGACGCTATAAATGCATTAGAAAGTAACAAACTGGCTATGGGTATCTTTCTAGACTTATCGAAGGCATATGACTGTGTGAACCACAGTTTTCTTTTGACAAAGTTGGAAAGATACGGAGTCAGAGGATCCGTTTTGAACTGGATTAAATCGTACCTACAAAATATGAAACAAAAAGTGGTAGTTACAAAAAATAACATTAAAGGGAAATCAAAGGTAAGTGAAGTAACTATTGGGGTATCACAGGGAAGCATGGTAGGCCCGGTCCTATTCATCATTTATGCAAATGACTTGCATTTGCAGGACCGTGAGTTATACAGATGAAATTTTTTTAATGAAAACCAACAGCTTTCCTGAAATTATTGAAGCTATTAGTCAATTCAAGGCAATCGTTTAAAATGAACAATCTTATACTAAATGAGGATAAGACTAATTTAAATTTATAACAACAAATTACATGAGTCATCACTTACCTGATAATATTAGTCTACAACAGGGCACCATGATAATAAACAAAAATGTGAAGTTTCTGGGAATGCAGATTGATAGTCTTATGTTGAGACGTTCATGTCATTTCAATAATAACAAATGTTACAAATTGAGAGTATTATCAAACAAAACAAGAAATTATGGAAATAGTATACCATTCTACCATTGAGTCCCATATTAGATATGGTATTAATTTTATGGAAACAGCAGAGATTTAAATCAGGTGTTTGTAACTCAAACAAGAGCATTAAGAATCATAGCTGACTTTTTATCTTTATCTTTTCGGTTATAAGCAAGTAGGGTTAGGTTTGGCCCAGAACATTGCAGCTTCTTGAGTCTATTGTGTTCACCAGCTTTCCCCGTATTTAGGTACTATCTTTGAAATAGTCCTGTGTCTTCTGTTAGTTTTAATAAATTCTCTACCAAGTGTTCCTGGAGTGGCACTCCGTATCAAATTGCAACGAAGAGAACGAAAGAGAAAGGGAAGAGAAAAAATCTCCTCTCATTTTTCCGTATCGAAATTTGTACTCTGTAGCAATTTCTTTATTTAATTCGTAGTGAATCGGGATTTTCCGTCGCGAAGAGAAATTTCTAAAATAACGAACTACTCGTCCTAAAACTGTTGGCTTCACTTCTATTTGACACATTAAATAAAAAAATAAACCCAATTTTTAACATAAATTTGGATTTTTTTTTGAACGTGGAATTTCTTAAAATAGTATTACGCTATTGATTATTCTGGATCAAAGTTCATGTTCGACTGCTTTTTAATATTTTTATTTACCACTAATTCAAAGCAGACCCTGTGTTCAAAGGTAAGTGGAGCAAATAAAAGTGATTTCAGATTATACCACCTTTTATTTAATGAAAACAAGTTTATAATTTATGTAATTTGCGTATAATAGTTATATTTTAACTTTAAGATGAATCCTGTCATAAGACATGTGATGCAAGAAGCCCAAAATGATCAACAAAAATATGAACTATGCATTGCTAAAAGGGTAATGAGGGATGCAAGTGATCCATTCGGCCTTCCTCATGTTAGATTCAAAGAATTATTTAGACTAAATAAAGATTCAGTTCAGAATTTGTTTATTGATTAATTACAAACTGACAATCCACATAAAAATGTAAACTTAAAATGTCAAAACAAAACTGCCAAATCAAGTTCTTAATATAAACAAAGAAAGAGTTATACCCCTTCCATACATTAAAGCGAGACATATTCTTAAGCGACGAGGTCTTAGCGATCTCTTTCCCAGTGACAATCGTACATGTTCGGTTTAATCGTAAGTAGTCGAAGAGAGTTACAGAGTAGACCACTAAGCAAGTATTTCTCTACCTCCTTATTATCCTCGTTTCAGCTACAGTTGATCTGGAAATCTGTTGAAGGTTAGGCGGGGTGTCATGTGATGTGATCCCATTTTTAATATAGGATCATTTACTTCATGTGTTATTCTGGTTTGTTTTATTTGTCCCAGTGGGTTCCAGTTGTTGGAGATATCCAGTAAGCATGCACTCATTCTAGCCTCCCCCTTTATAACTACGTCAAGGAGTTGGAGGTTTAGAATGATTTCCATAGAGGCTGTCGGTGTACTTCTCAGTGCTCCTGTAATACAAAGGCATGCCAGCCTCTGAACACCTTAGAGGGTATTGAGGGCTGTTTTATGGCTTACTTTTGGCCAAAAAACAACCGCCCCATAAGTTATCATTGTTATTGCCAAATATAGCCAGTGGACTTAAAATTCAATGAAACTTGTAGAGGGACGGTTAGGAGATTTAATTTACTCACCTATTATGGAATATTTATAATTCTTTAAGAATAGAAATAAATTTAAAATATTTGAACCCCAGAATAAATATACCACAAGAAATCTCTGCTGCTACAACTACCCTATACATAGATTAATGCTAACTGAAAAAAGTGTATGTTATAATATCTTAAGATTTTATAAAAAATTGCATTTTGAAGTGAAGTTAATAGATAGTTTATCAGTGTTAAAAACAAAAAAGGATGTTCAAAATTTTAGTAACAATCAAGCCTTACTCTGTTAATGATTATATAGAATATCAAATGTAAATGTCAGATAGCTGTAATATAATATATACATTGTAACTTTCTTGAAATAAAGTATATTTATTGTTTTTTTTTTTATTTGGTGTCATTGGCATCAATTACTAAGGTTATTAGCCTCGTGTTCTGAGTAGGCTTTGTTACTGTTTCCCAGCGCCACTTTAGGAACAGCACTGTTAATTAGAACCCAACAGTGATTGGTGGGGAATCCCACCAAGGCATCAGAATTAATTTTAAATAATTAAATTAAATAAAAAAATCCCGGCCAACGCAACGGTGGGATTCGAACCTAGGATCCTTGGATCCGCAGGCAGAGACTATCACTGAGCCACCCACCTCCCTGTATTATTATTAACTACACACTACCTTTTTCATAAATGACTGTGAACAAAAATTATATATTCCTTTGTAAAACTAAAATACAAATCGTCGTAAAATTTAAATAAAGCAAAAATAAAATACGAATCCTCGAAAACAAATAAAATTAAAATAGAGTAGATTGAAACCACGTTTGAAATACATTTGCATCCATGTCCTTGCAATAATCCCCGTTTTTTTGTGATTCAAAAATATTAAGCCCACCGTCAACAAACCCGGTATCACTGCCAAATGCCTAATTATTAAACGATGTGATTATTAAAAGAGGTGATTTCAATTCCAAAGAGAGCCATTGTAAGAAAGCACCTCTACGATTTTTAATTTCTAAATCTTGCCTAACTTTTAAAATTATGTACCTTTGTCAGGTTCCGTTCAAATAATAATGGTTTTCCCTCATTGCGATATCTACGAATTTCCTTTAAATACGCCAAACATCGATTTTCTCTTTTTCCAATAGTGCACTATTATGTTTTTACTTACGAACATTCACGTCTTAAGACTCAACGCGCTATTTTTGGCAAATTACTATCCCTCTGTAACTCGGCACTGATTTTATTCACAATAGAATTTTTTAACAAAGCGTGTATTTAACAAAATTATCTGAAACTATTATTTGTTTACATCGCCGTTTTTCTTTATTTGTATTCGATCCTGCTTTTTAATTTTCTACACTCGGTTTTTTTAATGCTCGATAAACCTTAGTTTGAAACTTTCATTAATTTCCCGCAAAATTTTACTGCTTCATCCACTGTACAATCTGAAAAATGTTCGCTTCCGAAAAATAATGCCGTTTCGCACAAGGGTTGCTACAATTAGGTAACTCCGGATTCATTTTAAATTACGTTTAAATAATTTCAAAAGAAGAACAATAAATAAAATAATTTACCCGGAATTTTATTATATTTATCCAATTCTCTCCGACGCTTAAGAATATACCGCCAACACAAGTAAATAAATAAATTTAAGTATGATACATTATATTGTTAAGTAGGTAGCAATTATGTATTTGTTTGCATATTTTTTATAGTGCAATAAATTCTTTCAATTTATGTCAACTATGTTATACATTCTTGAAATTTTCATATAAAACCATGCCCTATAAAAAAACTTATTGGAGGAAAAATTATTCATAGCGAAGGCAGGCAAATTTTTATACATAGTTACGGTGTAAATGTTACTGCTAAATAGCATGTGATTTAGGTAAGTAGATTTGAATAGTTATTTATACAAGTGTTGTGATGTATACCGGAGTATTTATTTTTACGGAGAAATATCCAAAATTACTAAATTTCTAGATCTTTTCAATTCCACTAGTCGGGTTGAAAAATGTTTAACTACGGAGACGTTGTATGTGGGCCTGCATCTTTATAAATAACTTTGTGTTAACCTATAAATACTAAATCGTTACGCCACTGATTCATCACATTTACAACATAGCGCTTACTAACGACACTTACACGAATACCGCAGCTGTACTTTTCTTTAATGGAACAGACTCTAATCGCGCTTGTAAAAAGCACCACTAACACATAAATACATACCCGTCTCTTGGATCCACTGCTACAGCTCTTGGACTTTCCATATCACCAGCTACCAACGTTCTTCTGAAGCTACCATTTAACTTAGCGACTTCTATCTGGTCTAAATTACTTTCAACCCAGTATAAATTTTGACCTAACCAATCGACAGCTAGACCTTCAGCTGTGGACAAACCAGTTTGAACTACTACTTCAATATTTCCAAGCGATCCGCCTACTACAGTTCCTCTATAAATTTTATCGTCTATAACGTCCGTCCAAAATATCATATTAGTGTCATTTGCGTGATAAAAATCTAAAGTAATGGTGTTCTTTAAGCTTGCTATAAACGATTTTAAACCAAATGTATGTAGATCTACTCCTCTTAGTTCATGACGGTTGCTAAATATAACATAAGGTCTTCCACTATCGGTGCTTTTACAAGTAAAACCATCATCTTGGATGACGTAACCTTCTTGACATGTACACTTAAACCGAGAACCTCTTGGTATACATAATTGAGAACAAGTTCCTACAAATATAAACATTTTTGGGCCGAAAAAAATATAAAAAATCAATATTACCCCATGCCTCACATGGATGTGTTGCCAAACAATTAATCTTATCGGCTTGTAGATGCAAATTTTTCGGACAAGTACATATTAAACCTTCTGGGGCATTGTGACAGTCGTGAGAACACACAAAACTATGTTCACATAACATATCCGAGCATCTTAAACCTTCGTCTGAGCCATCATTGCAATCTTTTCGGTCATCACAGAGTTTATCAACATCAATACATTTAGTTCCATTATCACAAAGTCTCGAAGGATACTCACAGGATGATGATAGTTTGAATTCTGTGATATTATAATCTAGAAAGAAAATAATACGATGTACTTGTAGACATAAATACATGTTTATTTCTACAAAATCTTACCCGTACACATTTGATCTATTTCATCCGACCCATCAGCACAATCTTGCCTGTTGTCGCACAGTTTAGATGGCGAGATACATTTTGTATTGTTATCACAGGACTTATGAGGTGGATCACAAGTTAACGTTGGGCTTTTGGCGTTTGTAGCATTTTTCAGTCTACCAGGATCACATTTCATTTCATCAGAACCGTCGACACAGTCAAGATCAGAATCACATTCAAAAACCTACAAAAATTAAAAAAATATTTTGTATTCTAAAAAATAAAACTACATGGAAAAATATCATCTACTAGTTTATTAGAGCATTCAACCTTATAAAAAAACCTAATTATTTGTACGAAAAAATGTTAGTTATATATTCTGTGTTTTAGTAAAAATTTTAACAATAATAATTTTTAAAGACTTTTTACCTTTGGAATACATTCAAAGTTTGTGCAGGTGAATTCGTCAGTTTCACATTCAACTGTATGCCCACAATCTTTCTCATCTGACCCATCTGGGCAGTTCGTTTTTCCATCGCATCGTACGCTTTTAGGAAGACATTCGTCTCTTGGTTTACATGGGATTTCCTTCATAGGATCACATTGCATACAGTTGATTTCATCACTACCGTCATCGCAATCTTTTATGGAATCACAATAGTAACGTGAGGCAATACATTGACCACTTTTGCAGGCGAATTCGTTTACGTCACATGTAGAAGTTTCTAAAAATATTTTGTATTAATAATAATAAAATCCCCTATAATTTATTCGTTATGAGTGAACTCCTGAAGCTCTTAAGGATGAGCTGTGTATTATTATTATTTGTAGTGGTGCCCTGGGGTAACTTTCAGAAGATTAACTGCACCATTTGACTTACAGGTAAGAAAAACTCCGCCCACCATCATCGACACGATAACCCACTGGGATTGAAAACTAGATGTTGTATCAACAAGGGAAATTAAATTACTTCTAATATGCCACCAATCAAATCTTACAAAAAAACATGGAATTTCACAAAAAATTCGCATGGTTTGCTGTGGGATTCAACAATCGTATCGTTTTTGTAAACGAATTTAGTAAAAATTTCGATTGCTTGTCCACGGATTTTTTAAAATAGGAATCTAATTTCCAAAAAAGTGAGTGGCTTATCAAAGGAATACTTAAAAAAATATGAATCTATTATTTTAATTTTAAATAACTTACTGCAATCAGTTTCATCACTGTGATCATCAAATCCGCAATCGTGAACATTATCGCAGTGCCAAACCATTGGTATACACCTCCTGGACTTCTTGCACTTGAATTGTGTGGGAGGACATATTTGGGAACACGTACCTGGATCTTCGTCTGTGCCATCTAAACAGTCCTTCTCTCCGTCACAGACCCAGTGCTTAGCTATGCAGGTTGTTTTATCACATTTTAATTGGTTATCACCACAAGATACATTCTCACACGGACCTAAATATTAATTAAATCTAATTTAGATATTGAAAAAGGTGAATTAGTAAAAATAAATAGTCTGATCAATTTATGATTACAATCGGGTCATTAAGTAAATCAGGATTATTTTTAATTTTCTTCTCATAAATGCATACAAAAGTTAACTTTCAGAAAATAAAACAAAACAGGAAGCAATATTTTAATATTTGCTGTATTCACAAATGGAATGATTTACAAAAAATGTTTCCAAAGTAGATCTTGGAAAAATTCACGTATGTGGTAGTTAAATATCATTTTGGATTTAATTTAAAGTCGTGAAGTAGTTATTACGGACATGATTCGCATATCTGTATTTATAAATCTAAATATGAATATATTCAACACATCACTTAATATTTTCAAATTGCATTTCTTCTCTGTATCTGTAACGTGTGGAGGGTGGGTTACCCCCCCCCCCCCCCCCCCCCCCCACGGCACTTAGGCCTCATTAAGCCCATTGTGCATCCTCCTGAGATGATAGGCACCTCCTAGCTCGTGAGCCAGCCTACAGATTTTATGTAGTTGACAACGTCGCCAAGAGGTGCTTCTCTTATATCGGCCGGTGTTAGCCGATACTCGCCGAACTCAAATCTTCTAATAAATGAGAGCGTCGGGCAATCGTAAAGTATATGCTCGATGGTCTCATCTTCTTGTTCGCACCCTCTGCAGAGTGGGGATTCTGACAGCCCCATGATATGGAGATGCTTTCGTACTTGGTAATGACCAGTCAGAATGCCTGTAACTAGGCACAGATTCTGTCTAGTCATAGTCAAGTATTTGTTTGCTGCAGTGTTGTCAGGATAACTTAAGAGCTCCCTGGCAACTCTGCAGTTTCTTGTTTCATCCCATCTCTCCTTGAATTTCACAAGGGAATGTTCTTTGATCAGGTCTGTCACTACCGATTTTGTCAGGCCAATTGAAGGGCCAGATCCAACAAGTATTTGGTTGGTTGCTTTCTTTGCTAGTGAATCAGCAAGACGGTTACCTTTCGATGTGGCGTGACCAAAGCTTCGTGACATTCTAGTACTAACCCTGAGTAAATTCGTGGTCTGTTCAGGGTGAGTAGTGCTTGTCTGCTATCTGTATAGATGAGCATGTTCCTTCCAGTGATATTGTTTCTGGTTATTTCTTTTGCTGCTATATGTAAGTAAATCAGGATTATTTTTAATTTTCTTCTCATGAATGCATACAAAAGTTAACTTTCAGAAAATAAAACAAAACAGGAAGCAATATTTTAATATTTGCTGTATTCACAAATGGAATGATCTATAAAAATGTTTCCAAAGTAGATCTTGAAAAAATTCACTCATGTGGTAGTTAAGTATCATTTTGGATTTAATTTTATTACGGACATGACTCGCATCTCTCTCTTTATAAATCTAAATATGAATATATTCAACACAACACTTAATATTTTTAAATTGCATTTCTTAAAAAATAGAACTTTTTAATAGATAAATATTAAATATTACGTATCTGTCCATGTTTTTAACATTTAGATATTATTTGTTGTATTTTTAGCATTTCTTTATTCATGTTAAACTCACTATTTAAACATTTAACGAGTGTTTAGCACGTAGAAATTTAAAAAATAAGTAAATTGTAGTTATTTAGAAAATGGTTATAAAAAAAACAACATGTTTTTCTTTGACAATAAAAAAAAGATATTATTTATTTATGTATTTTATTATAACAATGCAACCATAAGAATGGTGGTCATTATATTTTTATTAGACAATCTTCTGATTTACTTATATTATGTTCGTAATAGTTTTTACAGCCTATTCTAATTTTGTACCAACAAATTAATTTACGTTTCACAGGATAATTTACGCTTCATCTAGACTAGAAGACGATTGAAGGGAACCAGACACTGGAGGCGTCAATTTTTGTTTAAACTTTAAACATTTTTGTTTTACAGTTTTTAAAAATTACTTGAACCCAGTTACTTGTCAAATACTCGTACATTATAAAATGTAATTGGATGTGGGACTAATTTTTTATTTTTAACTTGGTAGTTAACTTGTTAAATTTAATTTACTTAAATAGTGTAGGAGCATTGGTAAATGCATTTAGTTATAAGTTTCTACATTCATAAATGTGACATGTAATAAAGTTACAAAACCTGTTTGTTTTCTGTCAAATAAATAAATAAATTTTTTTACCTCCTGGATCACCGGATTCATCAGACCCATCATCACAGTTATCCACTCCATCGCAAAGGTAATCATTTGGAATACAATGCTTTTTTTGTAAGCACTGAAATTTACCGGATGGGCAATATGAAGGGACAGTCACGTTGTTTTCTTTAATACATGAATCATTCTTCCATTGAAAACCATCCGTGCAAGCACATACAGATTTATGATCTGGCAATGGTATACAAAGTTCTGGGCATGTCGAGACGGCACAGTCATTTTCACCTACAGAAAATACAACAAAATATAATTCAGCTATGGAATAATTATGTGATTAATGTACATTTTTACACTAAGAGCCAACGACCGCCAGACTTACGTTATAGTATGAAGAAGGTTAAAAATGTTTATGTATGTGCACATTATAGCAGATAATACCATGGGGGTGGGGGTGTAGGTACCAAAAACGTTATAGTATGAAGAAGGCTAATTTTTTAATATGTTCAACTGGATAACATTATAATCTCCAATCAACAATTGCTTGACACTTTTCGCGGGGGGTTACGTCTGTCAGACAAGGTGTCGAATAATGTATACACTAAGAACACTTTTATTGTTAATTTCTCAGAAAATTTTATTGTTGATAAGTTAGTACATGACCTAAAATCCACTACAGGCTTGATTAATATTAAACAAGCTTTATTCATATACGAGAGGTAGGTAAACAAATATGAGTTTAACTAGAGAGTAAAGAGTCCTTATTTATTGAAACAAAGAAAAATGTTACTTGAAAAACTTGTTTAAAATTATTGTTTATCACCAAATATGAATAGCCTGGCACATCCGACGTGTCTAACAGTAAAAGACCAGGCGTGACAGCAGGCGAAAGAGCATCATTCGTGCACATAAATCCTAGTTAAGTTTATCAGTTAATTCAATAAGAAATAAGAAAAAACTAATTGGTCTATTAAAAAGGATATGTTTGTATATAGTCTGTTGAAAAACATCCATTTATCAAAAAATTTTATTCTTGATAGAAGTTAGTCCATGATCTAAACTCCAGTAAAAAATTCATGCATATTAAATGGGATGTCAAAAAATATAAATTTGCCTCAAGACTCTTGAGTCAAGAGTAAAGATTTGTTAGAATCCAAACCATTATTTCTGGATGATGGTTGTAATTTTTCATATTTGCTGATAAATAACGATTATAAACAAGTTTTTCAAGTAACATTTTTTCTGTTTTTAAAAATTTGGGTTCTCTACTCTTGAACTAAATTCATATTTTCTACCACCCTCCTATATGATTAAATTTTGTTAATATGTATGAAGTTTGTAGTGGATTTTATGGCATGTACTAACTTTTATCCGGAATAAAATTTTCCAAAAAATTTACAATCAAAAAAGTTTCTATAAGGTGCAAACGTTTTTTGACACACTGTCCTTCACGAATTTTTTTTATTATTATTGACTTCACTGATAAACTCAACTAATACTCTCACTAGGACTTATGTGTACGAATGATGGTATTTCTCTTGTAGTCGCGCCTGGCCTTTTACTGTTAGACTAGTCGGATGTGTCAGGCTGCTCATATTTGCTAATAAATAATAATTTTAAAGAGTTTTTTAAGTAACATTTTTCTGTTTTTAAAAATAAGGGGGTTTTCCTCTTGAGCTAGATTAATATTTTTTTACCTCCCTTGTATGTGATTCCAATTTTTTAATATGTATGAAGTTTATAGTGGCTTTTAGATTATGAACTTTTATCAAGAATAAAATTTTCTGAGAAATTAACAATAAAAAAGTTTTCTATATGGTGCAGACATTTTTCAACAGCTTGAAACCGTCTAGAAGACGTAATCCCTCGCGAAAAGTGACAGCAATTATTGATTGAAGATTATGTTATCTAGTTAAATATATTAAACAATCAGCTTTCATATTATAACGTATTTGCCAGACATTTTTTGGCACCTTGAAAACCTGTTATCTATTAAACCACCCTGTAGTCAAGATTCATAACATCCTAACGTTATTATTTACTATCATGTGCACACACAAAAAATCTTAACCTGCATACTCTAATATAAGGCGGGCGGTCGCTGGCTCTTAGTATATTACGCTGAACGAATTTAAATAACTAAAAAACTTCTAAAACAAATTATATTCTAAAATATAATACAAAAAAATATATAAAAGAACCCCTCCTACATCAAAGGCACTTAAGTTGCTGCTACTGTATCATTACACTGGGCCCAAACTATTGAGTGGTGAGATAATTTTGAAGAGTAGAATATTAAATAAAAAATGGATGGAAATTTTAAATGTACAAAAAATGCCTAAGAATCGGTTCAAATATTCCTCATCAAAATAAAGTATATCCTAAAATTAATTAAGACAATTATAGAAATAATGTATGATTACCTATTTGAGACTCAGAATCAAACATCTTGACGTCATACAACGGCAAGTTTCCTTCGTAAATCTTCTTAATTCCGGTATCATTTCTATAAGACATAACGGCACCTTTAGTCATCTCAATAAAAAATAAATACTTCTTAAGGCCGTGGCCAATCGTCAAACTGTGAGGATTCTCCAAACTACCAATGGTTTCAGTTCTACGATCTTTAGCGTCGAAGTCAACACTTTGAATTATTTTTAAATGTTTGTCAGACCAGTAGATCCGTTTAGCTTGATGGTCAATCGCCAGACCACTGGGCCAGTGGATTTTTTCTGTTAAAAAGGCGTGTTTATTGGTTCCATCCATGTTTGCTGTATCTATACGTCCTTTTTCCGGTGATAAACTTGACCAATCGGCCCAGTACATGACACCATTAAGAGGATCCACTGTTATAGCAGTTGGGCTGTAGTTATTACTTTCTATTAAGGTTCTAGTGGTAGTTATATTAATTAATTTAGTTACACTAATACTGCCTTTTTCTAAGCTAGTCCAGTATAAATTTCTGGAAATCCAGTCGAAGGCTAAGCCATCACAGACAGTGTTTTTTAATAAAACTGTGCGATCTGTGGTATTTCTTAGGTTAACCATGTTGACAGTCATACTTTGAGCGTCAGCAAAAAACAAACTACGCCCTTTAACATCATAGTCTAATCCCTTAGGTCTACCAATGTTCATAATGGGGACAATAGTTTCATTTCCAGTAGCCAAATCTATACCTCTTATTGAAAATGGACGGCTTTTCGATAAAAGTAAAAAATTAGGAGGCATTTTTAGAATGCATTTAGTTTTGTTTGTTAAGGTATATCCAGTAGCACAAGCGCATCGTTTGATTGCAATGTTGTCGTTCCATAGAGGGATGCACATATGATCACAATCGTTTAGAGTTTTGCACGGATGAGCAACTAAAAAACAAAAACCAAATTAATTGTTTTGCAATTTATATCGTCAATACATAATATAATAGTCCAGTCGCCAGGTAGTTAAATAGGGGTCCAAACTTTGATTACCTACCACATTTAAATGGTCATTTATGTTCGAAGGCTGGTAAGTGTAATTTACTTGTAACATTACAATTTTTTGGAAAAGTTATGATTTGTTAAACACATTAAATACATTTTTTTTAGTTGAGGTGTGTTTGTAACACTGTAGATCAAGTGTTTCTCAAACTTTTTTGGCGACTGAACCCTTCTGAAAACCGAAATATTTCACGGAGCCCTGTCGGGGTATTTCTTTAAAAAAAGGTTCTCACACCAGGTCCTCCCTTTTGTGACGAACTTCCTCATAGTACTCCTTTAATATTTTTTTTACTTTGACAATTATTTGCACGGAGCCCCCACAGAGGCTTTAAGAAACACTGGTAGACTATAAGTAAACCACCTACCAGTTAGAAACAAAAAACTGATCAGGGTTACATTGAGTACCTACGTATATTGCTGCTAAATTATGTGGGATTTGTTTTAACAGTAAGAGCAAACCGGACCTCTCGCAAAACAAAAATGCTTTGTGGATTTTATAATATAAAATTTGTTTATATGCGCGCCACTGGGAATACTTCGTGATGATGTGTCTCGAGAATATTGAAAGCTTTAAATTTGTGTAACGATAAGGCAGTACTCTACATAGACGTTTAAGAAAAACTACTAGATATTTATCAAAACAAAAAGCAGCAAAATTTTTTGAATGCATTTTTTTTAATCGTATTTTTTGGAATGTTAAATTTTCAAAAACATATTTTTCGAAATTGTTTTTTTCGAAGAGCCGTTTTCTGAATGTCCGACTTCTAAAATAAACATATTTTTAGGTCATAAAAACTTTCTCATTCCGTTACTGTTTTTTGTTTGTTGTCATATTAAACCCTCTAAAGACGGAATTTTTTTTATACTTACATCGGCATGCCTATTGTCGCTTATTCACCATTCCTATTTTAAAACAATTTGGATGTTTTGCGGTATTGCCTGGCGAAATCAATTCGTTTGCTCATTGTAAAGCATGTGACCAGTTGCCATGCGGCGTTGTCACCTGTATCAGTTTTTAACTAAGTCTAGGTTCTTGTGTCGCTTATACGCGACGTTCGGTTATTTTAAGTGACTTGCAAATATCGCATGTAGACGACGTTCGTATAATTTTTGATTGTCTGTCATACTTAATATCAATCAACAATATCTATTTATACTGAAAATGCGAAGAATTTTACAAAAAATTAAAGAGGAGAGCGATAACGGAAAACATGAAGTAAAAGGAGAATACAACCCCACTGGAAGAAGTGGAGGAAGCGTAAACACAGATTACCCAAATGTGAAACCCGGCAAAAGATCATAAATAAAATGTCTACCTCTTGAACCTGTACTACGTTCTGCAAATTAAATTACTGCACTCCTTTCTTCTCTAGACTATAGCAGTTGTGATGTTTGAAAAGTCGAAAATTAAAAAATGGTTTTTAAAAAATAAATGGGTTTCAAAAGAAATGGAATACGATTTGTATTAATATTTCGATATCTGAAAGCAACAGTGAGAAACCCCAAAAAAATCAATGTTAAGTTAACTCTGTCAAACGTAAGCTAAAACTGAACTTAGCTAAATGAAACACTGAGTTTCATCTTTTTCTAGTATTTTAAAAATGTTGGTGTTACATTCAGCTAAGGTCGGTTTTAGCTTACGTTTAACATAGTTAACTCAAAATCAATTTTTTGGGGTTCATCTCACTTTCTTTTAGCTATCGATTTTCAAAATTGTATTATAACAAACAAGTTATGATATAATGTAATGATCCAAAAGGTTTGAAAAGTATGTTTATGAAAAAATTCATAGAATCAATTTATGAATTGCATTACGATAAAAATAGTTTTACATTTGTTAATAAATTCATGACGTTTTGTGTAATATTCAATGCTTTTATTTCAAAACCAGCCAGTCGAAATAACTTTTGATTTTTCGTAAATTTAGGAAAAACAAAAACCACACCACCTTTTATTAGCATGGAAACGAATTGTTACATAAAATTCATACACAGAAATGCAACTCCCTGGAGCCCAGCAGCAACCCTCAATTTTTTTGTAAATAGCAAGTATGGCCCAGTTACACAAGATTTGAAAGGTAATTTTATGGAGAATTCAGCAAGATAACTATTTTAACGCTCTCTATCGGGATGTATTGTAAGTTTTGATACTTCATTTGAAAGCTAGTTTTATTAGTAATTTAATGCACAATATAAAAAAAACAATTTAATGAAACATGAACTTAAATAATTTAATAATTGTGCAATCTCTAACTTTAAGAAATACAAACTTTAATCACAATTAACTAAAATAATAAATTTAAGGCACCATTAAATTCCTAATATAGCTTTCAAATAAGTGTCACACTTTTCGATACGTTTTTTAATCCCACTAGAGGGCGATAAAATCAAATGTTCCGCTACGAATAGTCATATTGCGGAATTTTCCATAAAATTACCTTTCAAATGGTGTATTAAAAAAATAGAGAGTTGCTGTTGGGCTACAGAGGGTTAGATTTCTGAGTATGAATTTTTTTTGCCAATAAAAGGTGGCGGGTGTTTTGTTTTTCTTAAATTTGCATAAATTCAAAAGTAATTTCTTCTAGCTGGTTTTTAAATGAAAGTAATGTTTATCAGTAACAAGTATACCAACACAACAATTGTAAATAAGTGAGTTTATAAATATAGTTTTAAAAATGGTCACTACAGAAAATACGATGGGTCCTTTTCAAGTTTCCACTTCCGTTGTTTGTTAGGTCAGTCCGTCCGTCCACACCAAATCAACCACCAGAAAACTACAGTTGAGATTTACAATAAACGGTTTTGATACTGTTTAAATTAACAAATATTTAAATAAATGTTGATATCTTTTGGAAATCTGAAAAATATTATTATTGGGGTAAAATTAATTTGTGCATTCTTTATAAGTGCAGTAGGCGCCTCGACAATGTATATTTTATATTCTTTCTTTTGCTCATGATTTGTACTCGTATGCACAAGAAAACTAGAAAATGTATACAACGAAAAGTGCCTCTACGTAAAATGTAAAAACAAATTTGTTTAAGAAGTCCTTTACCAAAACTGAATATTATAACATTTATGTTAATTAGGTGGAATTACATTCTTTAATTCTTGTATATTCTCTTTTTTTTTTTATTTCAAGACGATTCAAAACAGGTGCTTATTATTTGTAACAAATCATTGTTGATAATACTTGGGGGAAGGGGAGCCAATTCACCCAACCACTTACATTTAAAGGGGAGCGAAGCGACTTGTCCTTTGGGGGGTGACATTTTTTTCGTACCAAAGTTCATTTTCCTAAATCTAGGGATTCAATACATCGACCTCCCCTGAGGGTGGGGGTGAAGTAGGGGCGAGGGAAGTTGGGCGGTTTAAAATCGTTTCAGGCGGGCCCCGCTTTTAGTTTTTTTATCCCTTGCCATTTAGGCCTGGCAGAGGGAGAGAGGGAGGTATTTTTTTTTCGCGCTTCTTTATCCACCCATGTAATGGGTGGAACAAAATTGATCGAAAACATTTGATCAAATACATTTGATCGAAAATATTTGATCGAAAAAACATTTTATCGAATTACAATTGATCGAAAAGAAAAATGATCGAAAAGAAAATTGATCTAAAATAGATTTAATAGAAAAAGCAATTGATCGAAAAATCCAATATACATAAAATTAGAAAAATTAAAAAACTCAACTAATTTACCTAATCTGTGCGGCCTAGAGCCATCGCTGGTTGCTTCGCAAAATAAATATACAAGAAATGAAACAAATTAAAAAACTGACTAATTTACCTAACTTGTGCGAAAGCAATCAGTTAAATTTACATGGCTCTAGGCAGCAAAGGTTAGCTAAATTAGTTAAGTTTTATGTAAAAAAAAATTATTTACCTAAAATGTCCCATCGGGAGAAAACTCGACCTTACTAAAATGCATATTTTGTGCGAATTAATCAAAATGCTTTAATCTCAATGACTATAAAAATACCTACCCATTTAGCTCTGAAAATATTAATTTGTAAATTTTTAATTTTTTTTAAAGCAGTATTGTAGGGATTTGTTAAATTAAGCAGCTATCGTTTGAGATTATTCGAAAAAATTTCCATTCGTACCTAATTGACGACAGCCGCTGAGTTTATTTTCCCCGGTAATAGGGATTAGACGGACGGTTGCATGGTTGCGTTAGATTTTTTTTTTAATTTTACTATTTTTAATATTGATTTTCGATATATTGTCCTTTGGATCTTATCAATTTCAGACATGTCTTTTCGAAAAATTTTATTCGATTAAATATGTCTTCGATCAAATGTTATTCGATAAAATGTTATTCAACAAAATGTATTTTCGGTCAAATTTCCAATTCGATCAAATGTTTTTCGATCAATTTTGTGCTACCCCCACGTAATATTGTCCATGTCGGTTCGAAATTAATGGGTGCTCATGTTCGCTATGGGCTAATTTTATGAGTCAATCATAATTCATTGGATTTCATTTATGAAGGTTGGGAAAAAAATACTAACTATTTTCAATTTTTTTTCCTACGACCACTTAGGAAAGTGACACATATCACACTATATAGTCCTATGGAAAGTGCCCTATATCACACGCGTATGAATAAGAATTTACTTTCCTCCCGAGTGAGAATATGTTACTTTCCGCAGTAGTTGTCACAAAATGTCAAACACCTAATTTCTATTTTGATCTATGTAATGTCCATATTAATATTAAAATCGATGATTGTTAAATTATTGAAATTGTTGTAAATTAGATCCTAGATATTTATCTTTATCAAGTATTATTAAAATAATTTTAAAATAATGTTTGCTCTTTATTCTGGTTAAATACATAACCGATTAGATCATTCAATTGACACAAGGGCTATTAGCTCAGGTGGTTAGG